AAAAAAAAAAAAAAAAAAGAAATGGATTAATAGATACATTATACATATATTCTGCACATTCTATTTAAAAAGGCATTTCTGAAATGTTTATTTAATATAGTGGGTTTTTTCATAGAGACACTGTTTTTAATAGCACAGAATACAGATAATAGATTGGGATAACAGTTTTGTAAGACTAGAGGTTAATATTCTCTTGTGAAGCGGTGGCCTAGAAATTAATAAGAAAAGGTAAATAACCAAAGAGAAAAGCAAGCAGAGTATATGACAATCACAAAGCAGAAAAAGCAAATGGCCAGTGAACACACTTTTCACACTCGAGGTCAGGGAAATGCATATTAAAACAAAAATATGTAATGCGGTGAATTCCTATAGTTTTATGTTGCCTCAGCATCCATTCTGAAGCTAAGTTGGACCTTCTCATAGAGAAGCAGGGCTTAGACAACCCTTACTTAACACAGTTTCCAGTTCTCCACCTTATCCTGGTTCCTCAATGTGGTTAATCCAGACATCTGCCTTAAACAAGTGCTCAAAAGCAATGATAATCTTAACAATTAAAAAATGGATCTAATTTAACCTCCCTTTTGTATGCTTATCCTTTTCAATATTCTCTCCTCCACAAGAATGTAAGCTCCATGAAGACAAGGGCTTCATCTACTCTTTTTTTTTCCAGTTTTAGACAGTCTCACTTCCTCTGTTGCCCAGGCTGGCATACAACGGCTCAATCTTGGCTCACTGCAACATTCGCCTCCTGGATTCAAGCAATTCTCCTGCCTCAGATTCCAGATTAGCTGGGATTATAGATGCACGCCACCATGTCCAGCTAATTTTCGTATTTTTAGTAATTTTCACCATGTTGGCCAGGCTGGTCTCAAACTCCTGACCTGAAGTAATCTACCTCCCTCAGCCTCCCAAAGTGCTGAGATTACAGGCATAAGCCACCGTGGCTGGCTAGCTTCATCTACTCTTTACCAGTGAAAATGGCAATGCAGAACGGAGGTACCCAACAGATATTTCTTGAATGAGGTCAATCAACTACAGAAGTTAGAAAAATGACAAATAAACCCACTTTTGGGTGAATCCATGAGGGGTGGTCATAGTGGTGGTGGGTTAAATCAAGGAATAAGTGTTTGCGAAGCACTAATTTTAAGGTGCACCTCCTATCACCACAAAGTTCAAAAACAATGACCTGGTGTTTGTTTTAAACACATTCAACAGGCCAGGTGTGGCGGCTCACACCTGTAATCCCAGCACTTTGGGAGGCTGAGGCAGGCAGATCACCTGAGGTCAGGAGTTCAAGACCAGCCTGACCAACATGGTGAAATCCCTTCTCTACTAAAAATACAAAACTTAACCGGCATAGTGGTGGGCGCCTATAATCCCAGTTACTTGGGAGACTGTGGCAGGAAAGTCACTTGAACCAGGGAGGTGGAGGTTGCAGTGAGCCAAGATCGCACCATTGCATTCTAGCATGGGCAAAAACAATGAAATCCATCTCAAAAAAATAAAATAAAAAATAAACGCATTTAACAAACCATGGAATTCGAGCACCTTAATGGCCCATGAGCGCTTCTGCTCCTGGGGCTCTGGGCAGTCTGCTCGGTGGCCTACCAGGAAGGAGGTTTCCCTAGCATCTCGTCAGTTTCCCAGGGTGACAGATTCTGCCCCCTTTGTGGCTGAGCTCCCTGAAGGTACAGAGCAGACGCCTTCCGTGGCTTCTCTGTCTGTTACACCACCTGGCCCCACCCAGGTGACCTTGCTCTTCCAGGGCCTTCTGCCTTTCTCTACTTCCCTAGCAATCCCATTGGGATAGAAAATTTCTTTCCCTTCTGGCATTAACTGCCCAGCTGTTAACACCAAATGGCCAAGCAAAGATAACAACAACAATAAAACCCACAAATGAATGCTTTATCTTTGACTATATTCTGTTAAATGTCCAGGAACAGCATAGGTAACTATTTGTTTTTCTGTGCAACTTTTCTCTGATTCCAAATGTCTCATCTGAGAAAAAAAAAAAGATTAGAAATTCCAAGAGACACTATTTGACAATCCAGCTGCTGCCAGAGACCTGTATCTAGAACATCCCATCCCCTCTGTCTTCCAAACACTTTCAAATAAATGGAAACAAGAGTCTTAACATAGAGATAGGCAGTGATTTCCTCCAACTTCTAATTTTAATAGCTCTATTAAATTCTGGACTCATTTTCCGTTTATTCAATCTGCTCTTTTACTAGCTCCTTTCCCACAGAGCCGGCCATTTGCCTGAGTTTAGACAGTGTGTTAGGGCAGAGGGCTTGGATAGATCCCAAAAGGCAGATGTTTCTTCTGCTTTCCTAGAAATTAAATCTGGAACAAACTTGCCTCCAAGATACATCCTGTGTTTGTACCTAACTGGACACAATTTTTGCATTTGATTCTCCCTTTGGGTAATGTGGTTTTAAGTTCACATTTTATATTTAGCCATCTATCCTTTTAGATGACATCCTTAAACTCTTTACTCTCTCTCTTCTCTCAAAAACGGGGGGAAAATCATTATAAATGGAATAGGCCCAGTCCTGGTCCACTTTGGTTGGGGTCCACTTTGGTTTGATATAGTAATCAAAGCTATAATATCAGTCACAGCTGATATTGTAGCTTTGATTACTACCCTTCAATGTGTTATAGCCTACAGAAATGAGTGGTTTCAAGTGTCATGTTTTTCCAGGTTATTGATCAGTGCTGTTCTGTGAAACATAAATATTTTGGGCACTGAGTTCTTCATCCTGACGTGGAAAGGTGAGCAGGAACGGGCTGGGAGGTGCTTAGGGTGACCAACTGTCCCGATTTGCTCAGGGCTCAGGGGTTTCCCAGAACATGGGATTTCAGTGCTAAAACTAGAGAAGACTTTGGCAGACCAGGAAGAATTGGCCACTCTAGATACCATCAGTCCTAACCATTCCCAGAAAGAGAATTACTACTGAAGGTACACTGATTAGGGATATTCAATAACCAATCCGTGTGAAAGACAAAGAAACATTCAAATCATTATCTCAGGGGGTGTAGACAGGGAAGGTGTGCAAATCATCACCAAGTCTATAGTGCGGAAAATCTCTGCGTGATCCTTCTTCACATTTCCATGAACCGCTGAGGCATGGGACAAGTGATAAATATTCATGGGATGGCTTTACAGTGAACCCAAAAGAATGCATTTAAATTATACCAACTACACAGATGTTTTCCAGTGGATATAGGAAGGTTTTAGTAACAAATAATAATGAGAGAACCTAAAGAGATAATAATTTCTACCATAGGGCTGGATGCGGTGGCTCATACCTATAATCCCGGCACTTTGGAAGGCCAAGGTGGGCGGATCACCTGAGGTCAGGAGTTTCAAGACCAGCCTGGCCAACATGGCAAAACTCTGTCTCTACCAACAATACAAAAACTAGCCAGGCGTGGTGGCAGGCCCCTATCATCCCAGATACTCTGGAGGCTGAGGCAGGGAAAATCACTTGAACCTGGGAGGCAGAGGTTGCAGTGAGCCAAGATCGTGCCATTGCACTCCAGCCTGGGTAACATGAGCGAGACTCCATCTCAAAAAAATAATAATAATGATAATTTCTACTATAGCATTACTAGTTTCTAACTCTCCTCCCTCTATACAACGTGTCACTTGAGAGATCTTTCTGTATGAGATGGGATTAATTGAAACATATGGGATTGTAGGAATGGAATGCTCATTCTAAGCTTTATAAGAAATAGGCAGTGAGTCTAGAAAATGCAAACTCATTTTAAGAAGCAGAACAATCAGCCAGCTACCTGATCTCTCTGGCTCACTATCTCCAAATTTGTGTAACTGTAGATTGGAAGATGCCCTCTGAGGCTCCTTGCAGTTCTAAATGCTGTGATTATTTTAGAATCAGCATAGAATAAAGAGGAGGCAGTTTTTATGGGACTATTATACTTGAGAGGCTTGGTTTAGATTGAGTACTTGACAAAGGAAGTCCATAAACTGGTAGGAAAAGGGACTAGAGATAGATCTAGAAGGCTTAGAAGTGGGGAGGAAGCTGGTTAACTCCAACAGACCAAAATCCTGGGAGAGGAGAACCCAGACAGGGACGTGCTCAGCCTCTCTCGGAGATGGCCCAAAACCCAGCAAATTCTTCAGGGTCTTGGGAACAGCAGTTTTCACATAGGACACAAGAGGGGATTTGGACTCTAAGGCAGGAGGGCCTTTTTACTGTAGGCCCCAAAGAGCTTGAAGAAGGAACTCAGACTTGGACCAAGTGCAGAATTACAGACTTTCAGTGAAGGAATAATTATGTGAAGATTGAGTCTAAGGAAGGAGATGGCTAGAAAGAAAATGAACCAGGAAATGTCCACAAGAGGGGACTGATGGTAGCACAAAGCTAAATCCGTCAGGATGACCTGAGTACCTCCAGCTTACTCAGGAGAGCCGGAAGTTGTATCCTCTGATATTTTCACAGTTAAGTTCTGATCTTTCAAACCTGGCTGAGGAGGAAGATTATGGGAGAATAAATTTCACAAAAGTACCAAGCTAAAGGACAAAGCTTTGAAAGCACAATTCTCATTCATCCATTCTCCAGAAATGTGGTGTCAAAGGAGACACAGGTAAATAGATTCAGGAAAAGCCTTCTGCCACTAATGGCTTTGTCCGAAAGAAACAAAAATGCTGTGATTATTTTAGATTCAGCATAGAATAAAGAGGAGGCAGTTTTTATGGGAATATTATACTTAAGGCTTTGCCTTAAGAAAGAATGCCATATCCTGGGTGCCGTAGCTCACGCCTGTAATCCTGACACTTTGGGAGGCTGAGACAGGTGGATCGTTTGAGTCCAGGAGTTCAAGACCAGCCTGGGTAACATGGCAAAACCCCATATCTACAAAAAAAAAAAAAAAAAAAATACACAAATTGGGCCGGGCACAGTGGCTCACACCTGTAATCCCAGCACTTTGGGAGCCCGAGGCAGATGGATCACAAGGTCAGGAGTTCAAGACCAGCCTGGCCAACTTGGTGAAATCCCATCTCTACTAAAAATACAAAAATTAGCTGGGTGTGGTGGCAGGTTCCTGTAATCCCAGCTACTCAGGAGACTGAGGCAGAAGACTTGCTTGAACTGGGACCCAGGAGGTGGAGGTTGCAGTGAGCTGAAATTGCACCACTGCACTCCAGCCTGGGCTACAGAGTAAGACTCCATCTCAGAAAAGCAA